CAGGTGCTTAACACTCTTAACATCCTTAACAACAATGGTGACAGGTTACAAGACAATGGCTCGGTTACTGACACAATTTTCAGATTTACACTTGAAGCCTTCTCCCACATGCTGGCTTCCTTTACTTCCTAGAGAATTTTCTGGTACAGGTTGCCAATAAAAAATTTGCCCATCAATAAGCAGGTTCTTTCAGATTTCTGGCATGGATTTCGGAGCAAATTTTCAAATTAAAATTCTGACTTTTTCTTTTATTTGTTTAATTCAAATTCAGAGGAACTATTTGACTTAAAATTTCATTTGCTTTTATTTAGTGTTAAACTGTATGTCTTTAAAGGACTAAGCAAGTAGTCATTTTCTGTCAAATATACACAACATATATAACCATTAAAATATCTGCCATTTTCACAACTCTGGCACTCAGGTCTGAAGGTTGCCAGATTTGTTTTTTATGTCAACCTGTACATTCAGGTTAGTTTAGCCTACAGATTTTAAAACTCTACCCTGTTTTGAACCCTTTACCAATTCAACAGCAGAAGCATCTGGCTGAACGGTTAGGAACACTGGGTTTTCACCACCAGGTCTAAATCCTGTGTGAGGTTATGAGGGTTTTCCTGTCGGAGGCACACAAAAAATCTTAACCTGCATAGCCCCTGCTGAATGCACTGGCCATGGAGGCCTAAATCCCCAAGCTTAAAGACCCCCCCCCCCCCCCCCCCTCCACACTACAAAAGAGTGGTAAATATAGGCTGTAGTGACTACTTGGCCAGAATTCTAGTCACTGCGTCACCGTGGCTACCTAGATTTCTACAATCAGCACTAAGGGGGTGATGTTGTTAACACTGATCTGATCACCAAACAATGTCTGACATCTGATTGTTTTGCAGTTGAAGTAGTCCCCTTTGTACAGTTGTTGTTCTTCTTCTTTCGTTCGCCTGAAAAAAGTTGTCTATATCAGCAGTTTTGTCTCTTGTATAAATTTCACTGTCGTTGTTTGTTCATTCAGTGGTCCATAGAGTTTACGTTCCACTGTTCTTTCTGGCCAAAAGGTTTGCCTTAATGTGTCAAAATCGGTGCAGTCCTGGTGTACATGCTCTGCTGTCTGGGGCACATTTCCACAGGTGCACATGGCTGATACACCTATCTTGAATTTTGTGTACATGTGGTTGTACAGTTCTATTTACTACATCTTCCTGCCTTCAATTTTCCACCTCCGGGCATTATAACATCTCAATCTGAATGGCAAGACAACAGGGCAAGCACCAGAGATTCTGTTCAACCTCCAGAAAGGTTATAACTGGGGCCCCTGTAATGACAACCCCAACCTGGTATAACCTGCAGTTCTGTTTGAGTACACATTTTTTACACCTTATATTCTTATTTTTCGCTCCTCAGCTGTCAACTCCAGCAGAAGGTTCTAGTTGTTAGTTCACTTCTAGACTTCATTCTTGAGTTTTGTTTGCACAGCCATTTTAAAGATCTGGCTTATTTATATGCAAACTGTTGATTCTTCACCTCTCAGGTACGTATATTCTACTACGAAGGAAATACCCCTAAACAGTCGACTTTTATGACATGCTTGTTAGTGGGCAGTGAGGTCTTTTTATCCCACTACAAAGGAGCTCCAGAACACACATAGAGAACTACACCTTTAAAGAAGCTGCATCCATACCATGTGGGGCTGGTAATTATGTCTGTTCACAACCTTCTTCTGTCCCAATAACTGTCAATCAATTCTGACACTTCTCTGTGTGGGTTCTAGAGGGGCTCCATTTTGGTGAACAAAGAATAGACCCATTAGACCCACTACCCCCCCCCCCCCCCCCCCCCCAACAAACATGTCACAGGAGGTGACAGATTAGGAGCATTTGCTTCCTAGTCAGAGGGCATCTGCATGAGAGGTAAGGAACCAATAGTATGCATACAAATAAGCCAGATATGTCAAATGGGTGTGTTTGCAACACTCAGGGGTTCTGAAACAAGACTGAAGTCTAGAGGTAGATGACAACTAAAACTTTCTGCTGGAGTTTACAGCTGCGGAGATCGAAGAAGAAGAAGAAGAATTAGTTCTGCCCTGCATTTTTCTCTCATGACCTTGTTCCTGATTTTATCTAGACATTCCTGCAGCCCTCCTCAATCTCATTTCCATGGTTACTAACTTTCTGTTCTGGTTTGTTGTGAGTGACCATGTCTGGCACTGGTAGCATGAGTCCATGTCGTGTAGTGTTGGTAATAATGTCTATCCAAAACCCTGTGACACGTGTAACTTCAATTAATTCTGACACAGATGTTCTGTCATGTCATATTGCCAGACTGTCCTGCATATTCTCTCTTGGTTTCCTTCTGCCTCTCATCCCTCCCAGCCATTCTGCTGTCATGAAATACCTAAGCTTTCCCCCTCTCATTATGCCACCAGAAAATTAAGATTGTCTCCTTTCGATGAGGGTAAACTCTTCCCTTGTGAGTCAGTTTCTCCCCAGAGATCTCCACCATACTTTTTTTAGTCTTCTTCTTCGTGTTAACCAGTTGCAGACGCCAGCAGAAAGTCCTGGTTTTTCATCCACTTCTGGAATTTTGTCTTGTTCCAGTGCACAACTGTTTTACAGATCAAGCTTAATTGTATAAAACTAACATCCCCGCAGCCTCCAAATAACTTTTCCCAAATCGACTGACTGTTTCTACATGTATATTGTCTTGCACATGAAATATCAGATAAAACAATACATCCAACTTCAACAGCTGTGCATTAAAAACATACATCCAACTTTAACAGCTGTGTAATAAAAGCATACATTCTTCAAACCAAAACACATGCATATGAAATAACAAAGTAAGTTCTGACTACTTAATGTTTAAAAAAAAAAAAAAAAAAACCTTTTCACACCAATGGTGAATTGGGCATATAGTGCAAGACTCATATTTTTTAAAATAGACTAATTGGCCCCCAGGAGCCGCTGTGGTCTAGCAGCTGGACGCTGATCTACGGATCTGTGGGTTGTGGGTTCAGGCCCTGACGAAGACTCATATTTTTTTGTTTACAGATAACTAGCACTCAGTGGGCGGTGAGGTCAACATCACTCAGTGGGCGGTGAGGTCAACACTCAGTGGGCGGTGAGGTCAACGTCACTCAGTGGGCGGTGAGGTCAACGTCACTCAGTGGGCGGTGAGGTAAACATCACTCAGTGGGCGGTGAGGTCAACGTCACTCAGTGGGCGGTGAGGTCAACATCACTCAGTGGGCGGTGAGGTCAACATCACTCAGTGGGCGGTGAGGTCAACATCACTCAGTGGGCGGTGAGGTCAACATCACTCAGTGGGCGGTGAGGTCAACATCACTCAGTGGGCGGTGACGGTCAACATCACTCAGTGGGCGGTGAGGTCAACATCACTCAGAGCTTCTTTACTTCCCAAGACAATTCTTGGTACCCATTTTTATGCAGCCTCGACTTAGAAGCCTTAGGACAGAGTTATTCTTCTTCTTCTTAGGATTCACTGGCTGTAAACTCCAGTAGAAAGTTCTGGCTGTTCATCCACTTTGGGACTTTGGTCTTGTTTCAGAACTTGAGTTCTGCTCAGGAGGATGCACTCTGACTTCACAGGAAACACCCCTTATTAGATGCCTTACATGACATGCTTGATGGGGGGGGGGGGCAGTGGGATTATTCCCCCCCCCCCACCCCACCCCAATTGAGCTATGGAACCCACAGGGGAAAGAGTTATTCAACTAAGTTTACCCAGGGGCCAGAAGGCTGACAATGGGGATCATCACGAACAAGATGCCAAGCCCCAGCACAGAAAGATAATTCATATAAAACAACCAGCAACAATCAGAGGGCCTATTGCTAGGCCTATTGTGGGTCAAATTTGGCCCGTGCACAGCCAGTTGAATAGCACTGCCCTGTGTCTATTACAAATCCTGATACACATCCTTCGAAGTCAAGATCTTCAGTCCGGCAGGCAAGCATTTAGCCACTGCACTACTATGGTTCCTACTGACTTAATATACATACTTAACAAAAACAAAAAAAGTACTAAAAGAACATAAAATGTGACTAGAAAGCTCAACAGATTGAATGGAATAGACGTGGACAAATACAACTGACTTTTTCAACCTGTCTTTATCAATCTTCTTCTTCTTCTTCTTCAGCATTCTGAGCCCTTGAGGTTCATTGCTGCAGATATCACCCGCTTCCACTCATCTCTCTGGTTGGCCTTCTCTTTCCAGTTGCGAACACCAAGTGTTTGCAGGTCTCTCTGGATATTATCTCTCCATCATCTTCTTAGTCTGCCTCGTGGTCTACGACCATTTATCTCCCTTTTGTATGTGGTTTTTACCTCTCTGTCATCTAACATTCTCTCAATATGACCCAGCCATTTCAACCTATTAGCTCTGATGATGCCAATGATCAATGGTGATTTAAACAGATTATGAATCAGTGGGCAAAGTCATTCATACGTCAGGCGTTTCTTAAGCCGAAAGAGTCCCCATGGCCAAAGTCACCATGAAACGAAAATATAAAACTGGTTGTAAGTAAAGATCCCTTTTCCCGCCTTAGGCGCATCGGGCATATGGGAAGAGGACCCATATTTTTGCAGAACAATTGGCACTAGGTGGGTAATGTGGTCAGCATTACGTCGTCCGTCTTTACTTCCCCAGGACATACATCCTGGTACCCATTTAAGGCTGAGTCGACCTGCGACGCCTCGTACCATGATAAAAATCCACTCAGCCAGCAGTGGGTTTTGATCGCGGTATGTTGGAATTACGAGTTGGATTCACAATGCGTAATCCACGGACGCAAAACTGTTTTTTTCTTCAAATTTTATATTGTATTTAGCACCTTCTATCATAACCTTAACTGCAGTTGCTCCCTATTTATGTTAACAAAAACAAAGATTATCAAAAGTCATTGATTTAAGGCAAGTATGAAAAGCTTCCATATCATACCAGAAACAGTTAACAGCATTTAAAAATAATCACAACAGAAGACAAGAAATATTTGATTATTTGTGTTTAAGGCTGTGCATCATGGAGTTTCGAGATGGAATGTCAGGAGGTGATTGTCTGGAAGCAGTTATCTGAATACCCATCGATCGAGCCATCATGTCCTGTGGATCTCCAAGAGTGGAGGTCAGGTGTTCAACGGTGGTCACATGATGGCTATCTGCAGTGCTGAGAGTATGTGTAGGACTGTGATGCGGCAGGAAGTCTGCATGATGAAGTGACTCTGCATCTGTGGCCATCTCTAGCTTCAGCCCATGGGAGGCAGCCACAGAGAGAGTAAGCCCAGAAGTAGAATGCAAAGTGTTCTGGGTAGGATGAGATTGGTTCCTATGCTCATCTGGCTTAGAACTGTCGAGATGGATGTTATGAGGCTGTGACTGAAGAATGAGAGTGGTGGGGCTTGACTGATGATTGGAGGTTAAATGGGTGGCATACTGAGTGAGGTGACCGGTGGAAGTAACACTGGGAGAAGTGCCTCCAACACAAGGGTATTCTGGATTTATGCTCATGCCGAACTGACTAGCCAGCTGTGTATAATAAAACATGGATGACCACGAAGTACCCGCATGACCTGCTGATCTACCATCATAATACTGATTTCCTGAGTGAGCTGCCTGAGGATTTAGGGATTCAAATGAAGCTTCCAGAGCCCGTGCATGAGACGCTGGCTGGACAGCAAAGGATAGAGGGCTGGAGCTAGGACTCTGGCTGGTCTGTGCATGAGACAAGATACTGTGGCTGTTGGAAGAAATCACAGTATCTGGTTGTAAAGCTTCATATTTCACAATCTTAGGAAGATTCTGAACATGTTCAATACCTCGCTGGATTTCATGCTGCGCAGTATCATCTAAGATCACATGTTCTATATGAGTTGTAGCGGCTCGGGTCAGATGCCCAGTTAAAGTATCCCACTGAGGAGCTTCAACGTATCTCTGACCGAGAACCTGTGAGTTGGAATCCATATCCGAACTGTTTTCACCTACAAGAATTAAAGATGTATTGGTAGCTGCAGTACCTACAAGGTTTTTAGGCTGCCCTATTAACGATCCAGCATCATGTATCTTTGTTCGCTGTACGGGTGGCCTTGGGGGCATCTCAGGTGGTGCTATAATGTTTCCTTCATCATCCAAAAGTGCAACTCTCCTAGGATAAGTTCTACAAAATGCTCGACTTGGTCCCTTTGTATTTCGAGTTGGTACCCCGACAGCTTTCAGAATTTCTTCTTTTTCTTTTTCTGATTCTGAGACTGAATCATCTTCATCGATTTTCTGTACCTGGTACTCGCTCTGATTTTTAACGGTACAGACTATATCCTCCCGCCAGTTGTTGGCATCCTTATGTATTTTGTGCACAAGGATTAAGTGTCTCCGGATGATAGAGGCATCAGTAAAAAACCTCCCGCAGTGTCTACAGACAAATGGCTTCTCTCCCTTGTGTACTCTCTCATGACGCTGCAGCGCCTGCTTCTGAGTAAATCCTCTACCACATTCTGAACAGATAAACATTTTATGTTGCCTGTGAATTCTCATGTGCATCTTAAGTCCTGAACGCTGACTGAAACCTTTCTGGCAATGGTTGCACCAAAAGTGTTTATCATCAGTATGAGTGTATCTGTGGTCTCTTAAGGCAGACTCGTAGGAGAAAGACTTGCCGCAATGTTCGCAAGTGTGCGGCTTGACTCCAGTGTGAGCGTTGGTATGTTCCGCAAGTGAATGTTTTGTAGTAAAACTTTTGCCGCAGGTTGAACACAAATAACTTTTTTTTTGCCCCATATGAACATCCCTGATATGGCACTCTAGAATATAGCGATTGCAAAACACCTTTGGACAATGTTCACATTTGACTTTTGTCTTTTTGTAAGTAGTATCATGAGTCTTGCGATGCTCGAGCATAGCTTTTCTAATTTTATACATCTTTCCACAAACATCGCAGCAGTGCTGAGGGGCCACGTGGGAGGCTCGATGCCGCAACATGTATCGTTTATTTGGGAACACCTTGCTGCATACATCACACTTAGTGGGTGAGGATAAATGCATCCGTAATCGATGACTCCGCAGCGTCGCATGCTTTTTGGCGACGAAACTGCAATCTGGGCAAGGAAAGTCTGACCTTCCCTCATCGTCACACACTTTTGGTCGTCCTCTCCTGCGAGAGGTCAGCAGCTCATTTGGACTCGCTGATTTAACAGGGATGACCACCCGCCGATTTTTGTACGGCCCTCGTTTCTTCACTATCTTCTTAACATGCAAATGGAATGGAGATTTATTTTTTCTAGGCCGTCCCCTTTTAGAATGCTTGGCATTTTCTACTTCTGCTGTACCTGAGTTGTTCTCACTGCCATTCACCATTTGAGTTTCTCCATCTTCATTCTCCACATTTTCTACATCCTTTTTTGCTTCTGGTTCTGCAGTTGCAACAAGAGGTTCAGGCTGCTCTGCTAAAGAATCCTCATCATTTTCTTCCTCCTCAAAATTAATTTCATCCTGATCATCAACTTTTTTATTTTGCCATGCCGATTTTCTAGGCCGTCTGACCCTTCTGCCATCCCCAAATATATCGTTCAAAATATTTCTTACAGTGGGGTGATAATCTTTGTCGGTCTCATCATCATTCATACCATCACCTGCCTCATATCCGTTTTCATCAATTCTGGGCTTGTTTTGTTCAGAAAACACATCCGGCAAGCGTGTTCCATAAAGTGCTAAAGTAGTTACAAGGTGTTTGTAAGCTTTTTCCATTGCCAACCACAAACCCTGTAAAAACAAAAACCAAAGTTTCCATGTTATCAAGTATTTTGACAAACTTAATAATCCTGTAAAAAACATGAATCTGTCCAGCTGAAATAAACAAATCAAACTACCTCTTGCTAAACTGTGCAACTCTCCATCACAAGCTCTTCTTCTTCTCCGCGCTTACCAGCTGTAAGCTCTGGCAGAAAGTTCTGGTTATTCATCCACCTCCGGACTTAAGTCTTGTTCCAGAACCTGAGTGCTGAATGCATATCCATTTTACAGATCTTGCTATTTGCATGCAGGCTATTAGTTCTTAGCCTTTCAAGTAGATGCACTCCAACTTCAAGCTCTGGCGGAAAGTCCTGGTTGTTCATCCACCTCCAGACTTTAATAATCTTGTTTTAGAACCTAAGTGCTGAATGCATATCCATTTTACAGATCTTGCTATTTGCATGCAGGCTATTAGTTCTTTGCCTCTCAGGTAGATGCACTCCAACTTGGAAGGATGCCCCCAGTCAGCTGTCTCCTACGACATTCTTGTTGGGGAGGCAGTGGTTCTATTCTTGTTTTCCCCACAAGAGGGCCCCAGAACCCACACAGGCATCCATCATGAGTTGACTCATTTGGTTAATCTTAGACTTCTGTGGTGATCAACTAGTTAATCTTAGACTTCTGTGGTGATCAACTAGTTAATCTTAGACTTCTGTGGTGATCAACTAGTTAATCTGAGACTTCTGTGGTGATCAACTAGTTAATCTGAGACTTCTGTGGTAATCAACTAGTTAATCTTAGACTTCTGTGGTGATTAACTAATTAATGTTAAACTTCTGTGGTGATCTAGTTAATCTTAGACTTCTGTGGTGATCAGCTAGTTCATCTTAGACTTCTGTGGTGATCAACTAGTCCATCTTAGACTTCTGTGGTGATCAACTAGTTAATCTTAAACTTCTGTGGTGATCTAGTTAATCTTAGACTTCTGTGGTGATCAACTAGTTAATTTTAAACTTCTGTGGTGATCTAGTTAATCTTAGACTTCTGTGGTGATCAACTAGTTAATTTTAAACTTCTGTGGTGATCTAGTTAATCTTAGACTTCTGTGGTGATCAACTAGTTAATCTTAAACTTCTGTGGTGATCTAGTTAATCTTAGACTTCTGTGGTGATCAACTAGTTAATCTTAAACTTCTGTGGTGATCTAGTTAATCTTAGACTTCTGTGGTGATCAACTAGTTAATTTTAAACTTCTGTGGTGATCTAGTTAATCTTAGACTTCTGTGGTGATCAACTAGTTAATTTTAAACTTCTGTGGTGATCTAGTTAATCTTAGACTTCTGTGGTGATCAACTAGTTAATTTTAAACTTCTGTGGTGATCTAGTTAATCTTAGACTTCTGTGGTGATCAACTAGTTAATTTTAAACTTCTGTGGTGATCAACTAGTTCATCTTAGACTTCTGTGGTGATCAACTAGTTAATTTTAAACTTCTGTGGTGATCTAGTTAATCTTAGACTTCTGTGGTGATCAACTAGTTAATTTTAAACTTCTGTGGTGATCTAGTTAATCTTAGACTTCTGTGGTGATCAACTAGTTAATTTTAAACTTCTGTGGTGATCAACTAGTTCATCTTAGACTTCTGTGGTGATCAACTAGTTCATCTTAGACTTCTGTGGTGATCAACTAGTTCATCTTAGACTTCTGTGGTGATCAACTAATTAATCTTAGACTTCTGTGGTGATCAACTAGTTAATGTTGAACTTCTATTGGTGAGATATATGGTTTAGCAACAGGTAATCTGAAATGTGATAACTGTTAGGGTATAAATATGTAATTAAACAAAAGTACATCTGTGGCTTAGGCGTTGCAAACGCGCTTCATAATGCCGGGGTGCCAGGTTCGATCCCAGCTGCGGGCCTTGCACTTTGCGTTGGTTTTGCCGGTTGTATCAAGAAGCCGACCGTCCAGAAAGCAATGGCAAACTACTGGAGACAAATTTGCCTAGAAAAAAAAAAAAAAAACAGCCAAAAAATGCTGGGGTTGGTTCTGCAATGTCCTGTAAAAGGATACGCAACTAACCTTCTTATATAAGTACATCTTGACAAAGCCAGACTTCTTTTTTTTTTTTAAATGACCTCGACTCCCAGGTTGACCCAGCCTTGAGTGGGTACCCGGTGCAGTCCTGGTAAGTAAAGGCGGCCAGGGTTATGCTGACCACATCACCCACCAAATGCACATTGATCTATAAAAATATAGGTCTAGCCCTATATTACCAATACACCTTAAGGTGTGGGAAAGGAACCTTTACATTTTACTTTTATATCAGTATATAATTATATCAAAAATATTAGGAAAGAAAATGGTACTAAAATAATAATCATCATCATTATGTAGCTGGTCCTTTACCGAATGCTGTTACTAGCACAGGCGACGAGAAAGCCATTGGTCCCTTGCCATTATCAGGTCAGGAGTTCAAGTTCCTTGTGCACTCACTGTCCTTGTTAATTTGGGGTGCTCTACTGACTTGTTTGATCTATATACATGATAAATAGTAGGGGAAAAGAGGTGTGGAAGGGGGGGGGGCTAGAAAGCATCTCTGTTGGACTCCAGATTATAAAGAGAATGTTTCCTGTCACTCCGGCATTTGTTCTAACCACACCATGACTACTGTAATAAATACATTTACATATGTTTACTAGCTGATGGCTAACTCCATTGGCCCTTAGTGTTTTCCAAAGTAGTTGACGGTTGTATGCAAGATGTAGTGCACACCATCTGATGCCTGTTTAAAGCCTGACACTGAAAGGCAATATACGACTTGAGAAAAAGAAGAAGATCAGTGTAAGTTTTACACATTTAACATTCTGCAGGAAGCAGCAAGTGCAAAGGAAAAATGAAGAATGAAATAACAAATCTGAAAAATCATTTGAATATTCTAATTATTCAAAGAGCATTAACTGTCCAAGAAATGCGTGGTATGTGACTGTTCAAATAACACAAACTCTATTAAGTTCCAAGACAAATGTGATATGTGACTGACTTTTTCCCTGTAAATTACAACAATCTTATAAGATGTTCATGTTTTGTACTGAGCTACCTTCATAGTCCTGTTAACTTTCTCTGTAACGAGGAATGCATCATGTGTTACTTTGGGTCACAGTTTGCTCAGCACATGCCCAAAAAAGGAAATAACCACTATTTTTAAAAAAAGTGTCAGTGATATACTTTCAATGATCTTGATATACATAGAGCAAAATATCTGTTTGGGCTCTGGTTAGAGAAAAAAACAGATTACAACTAACGTTTTCGGGCCCAAAAAGAGATTGATTTCCCTACCCATTCATAAATTGCTGTGTCGCAGGGCTTGTGCTAGGGTGTCAAGTTTAGTGACCAGACAACAACACGCAACATTTTACTAGTTGAAGTCACCGGCCGGCGATATCCTGTTTGTTCTATATTACAGGATATGAGCATTTTTAGCGGTCCTGAAACATGCAGAACTGGATGTAGGCTGCATTCTTCTGTGGGACGTAGGGGGTTAGGGAAATTTAGACCAGGAAGGGAATCACTCTCTTTCTGGGCTCGAAAATGTTAGATGTAACCAAAAAAAGAATAGATCAATGGCCTCTAATTCACATGTCATAAAAGGCAACTAATTATGATTCTGACTGCAATCTGATGAAATGGGCAGAAAGATGCACATATTTCAGCTAGCTATAAACCACAACATACCATGGCAGCCACCCCAATAATGGTGAATGCAGAAGGACTACACATGGAAAGGTGCATACAGACAAACCAGATTTCTCTAGCAGGTTGTGGGCAAACATAAAGTGTAAGAGAACACATCGCAGGTTGAAAGCTATTCATGATGAGAAGCACATCTGACAGCATCCCTGTGATCTAATCATTAAGCTCTTACCCACACACGACTAGACAGTAATACTTGGTACAGAAGTTATGAATTGAGTCCAGAATTGACATCACAGCACTTGGGGCATTCCCATGTGTGCTCCGTCCTCAACTTCAGCAGCCAGCGCAGAGTTCTAATATACTGATGGTACCAGTCACAATCTGGTTATATGTCAGAAGTTAAGAGTGCCCTAGTTTTAACTTCTTTAGATCTTCAATGAGGTATTTGGGTTTTATCCTGTTAGTCTGCCATCCTGCCAATACCTTGAACTGCCAGAATAACTAACAATGATTGCCTGGAAATGGCTAATGAAAGTAGAACATTATATACAACAATGAGAAGGAGACAAAGTTCTTTGGTCATGTGATAAAAAAAGGAGCACTAGAAAAATAATGTTACAGCTGAAAAGATCACTGGTAGAAGAGGCAGAGGCAGACCAAGAGAAACGATGGTGAATGCCTTGAGACAGTGGCATGGAGGACTAGAATACCATCAATGGAACTGATCCAGAACACCAAAGACTGAGATCTGTGGAAATGCATGAACGCCTAGGTCAGCTGGCAAGGCACTTGATCATGATAAGTCTGCCATCCGGGTTGCCACTCTTGAAGTCACAAGGGTGGTCCAGCGGTTACGCAGGAGCCCACAAAGGGGGCGTGGATCTGACTAGCAGACTGGCTGAAGTTTAAGAACCTGCACTGCTTGGCTTGACTATTGGCAGACATAGCAGAGGCAGGCTAGTTTTCTCCCTTTATAAAGTGTTTATTTTACTTTCTCCCTCGCTCCTGCCTCAAGAATTTTATAAATGGCAGTTACTTTAATAGTTTTACATACAGTCGGTTAATTTCTGTAAATTCTTGCATTATACTTAAGATGTCCCGAGATCACAAAGTCTCAACTCTGTAACGCCATTTTATTATGGCGTTTACAGTATACGGTTGGGTCCATTGTGATGAGCAGGGGGGAGTAGGATATACGGTTTTTGATGATCACTCTGTAAATAATATTACTTTCTATTTTAATCATTTAACGATATATTAGTAAGTTTGTTATTTACATATAAGTTACACAGAAAAATACAAATGAGCAGTTTTACTCACCTGCAGTCTATACTTCGTTGAAGCATTACCCCTAGCATCACTCTTGTCTACAATCGAGACGCCAGCATCTTCACAAACCTTTCTCAGCATTGCATCAAAATCAAATTCCTGAGGAAACCTCTTTAGTAAATCGTCTGCGATATCAGCTTCTACGTGAGAAAATACTGCTGCCATGATTAGCACACCGAGAAGTTTCTATTCACATCTAAAATACTGTTAACTTCACTTTTTTTAACGGTGTGTTGACAAATCGCGAGCTTCCAGCACAGCAAACATTCAGAGACGCTGAAGAGTTCCTTTCTTCCATTCCACACCCACTTGCCCACTTCCTTAGCAGAACGTTTTTTTTAGATGTGCCCCTCCGGGATTAAAGTTTGTAGGATTAAAATCTCAATGATAAGATCTTCTTCTTAAAGTCTACATCGTGTGGCGTTGGTAGTCATGTCTATACACAACCTTCTGTCTCTTGTACTTTCAGTCATCTCTGACATAGATGATCCTGTAGTGTAGATAGTAGTTTTTCGAAATATCCTGTTGAACCTTTAGGGTTATAATTGGGATATATAGTGTTTATTGGTAGTCTGGTAGTCTTAGTTTCAGCTTCATAGCAAACGGGTCATCCCATTTTTTGCTCCGCTCCTGTGCCAACGAAAAAAAAACACAGAATGTTTATCGATATAGTGTTTATTAAGTTCTAATAGTATATATTTGTTATTTGAAATGTAAATATCTTGTCATTATTTATTTGACTAAAATGTAGGCTTGTTGTTTCACATTTTGTTTTGATTTGGAATGATCCTCCATGCCATAATGTCAGACTGTCCAGTATTTGTTCTCTCGGTCTCCCTCTGCATTTCCACCCCACCAATTTTCCTACTGTCACGATGTACGCCAGTTTTCTCCTTCTCGTGACATGACCAAAGAATGTAAATTGTCTCTTTCTGGTGTGGCACTTTGTTCTCTTCGTGAGTCCCAGTTTTCTTGTTCGCCTCTGCCCTCTTCATTTACTCTTTTCCTTGGCGTGTATATGATGACATCCGATCTACTTCGAGTTCCTTTTTTTCTCTTCCACAGGTCTTAAGATTGTTACATCTTCTATTCCTTTGCAGTTCTATTGGTACAGCTTGTCATTCTTCTTTTCTCTTCTTCTTTTCTTCTTCTTCTTCTTTCTTCTTCTTCCGATGGAGAATCCAGACTTCTTCTTCTTCTTTCTTCTTCTTTGTTATGTTCCAGCTTCTTCTACTTCTTCTCATCTTCTTTCGTTCCTGGTCACCGACACCGACTGCAATTTTTGTCGCTTGGCTAGTTTGCGGTGAGAAACCTGTTATGGTTGTTCGTCATGGATTTTTTGTTTTTTTTTTTTTTAATCAGCCGGTCGATGTTTTTCCAGAACTTCAGTGATGAATGCACATTACCTTTTTTGGTGATTACAGATCTTATTTGTATGCAGCAAACTGGTGTGTTATGGTTGTTCGTCTCATATTTTCCAGAACTTGAGTTGAATGACCTGAGTCAAGAGTTATCTTTCCTCTTCCAAGGTGTTACCATCCATTGGTGGGTGCATGCACAACAGATTCTTTACTGGCGATATCGGATTATTCAACGCCGCTCCAAAATATGACATAGTTTGTTATATGCGTCTTTTTTTGTCTCAGCAGATGAAACTCCTCGTATTTTTTATGGTTTGTCGTCCATTTTGGGGATAGTCAAATTTTTTCTCTCAGGGCATGCATATTTATGAGGCAACGGGGTGAGCTTATTCTTTCCTCATAAACGTGGACGAATTTAAAAGGGACGAGAATAGGGGAACACGGTGAAGCCAGCCATGTAAAATCTAGAAAGCGAAAACCAATGAAGAAGACTTTAAGAGAAGACAGAATGTTGAATTAAGAATCGACATGAAAGCACTCTGGACACTCCCATAAGTGCCCCGTCTCCATCTTCAGCAGCAAGCGGAGAGTTCCAGTTCCGATGGCACCGGTAACTGTCTGATTGTATATCATTCTCACCCTTCCTTTGAGTGGTGAGCGTCAGCCAGATCCGCACTGTTCACTCGCTCCAAAAAGCCCCTCATAACATCTAGCTTGTCATACATCAATCCACCACCGACCAGTCTATCTGACTGCTCATTTTCCAACACACCGGCATCACCTGGAGAAAATATCCAAAGGACGCTAACTACCCGGGACCTTTGAAGTGATGCTTGCCACTCTGCACGGAGCATGCCTGTCCATCTTTCTCAACATGCTCTGTGGGTCAATTAAAATCACAGTATGTGTATATAGCTGATTCTCAAGCCATCGGAAGGCAACAGTGACTGCCTTCACCTCAATTCTCAATCTAGACGTTTTGATATCATATGACATACTTTGTTGCACTAAGCGACGTCCATTTGCTTTTGCTATGAACCCATATGCATTTAGTCTGCCCCTCAACACAGAGCCATGTTTATAGATAATCACATCACCTGGGTGGGAATTGTCATGAACCATTTGTTGAACTTCTGATTCTGCAGCACCAGCTGGCCAATCCCTGCACTCATGACCTACAGTGATAAGAACCCTACACAAGTCTGAAACTTGCTCGGACACTTTGACCCACTCCTCTTCTCGCCCAAATTTATCAAGCCGGCACATATATCTGAGACTTCAGCTTGTGCCATCCAAGACCTTCCTCTTCTAAGTCTGTGACCCTTGGCTCTACACAGGGCTTCATACAGGAGGTGCTTCTCGTCTGCAAGCACTCTCAGATATGATTTGCTTGCAGAAATTTTGAGAGAAGACCGAAGAATTATGTACCAATGTAACACCAGAACTGCTTTTACATCTTTTTCTCTCCTCCTCTAGTTGAAATGTTTGAGGATGGGGTTGTATCTACTCTTTTTAATACGCTGTGAAAATGTGTCTTTATTTGTGAGTAGGCTATTCTTGGTGCCATCTGTGACTTGGTTCCTCCCTTGCAATGCTTATACTTCTTCAACGTGGCTTACTGTAGTAACTGGTTCCATGGTATTTTTGTCACATACTTTAGCCATGACACTTATTGCTCTCTAGTAGAATGTATAATCGATTTCAGTTATACCTGTCATCCAAATTCCTCATTTGTAATGTATTCCTACTTGCTATTCCGGAAGCCATCATGGTTTAACTCTGGACGTTCTCCTGAGGATTCGAAGGTCGTGGGTTCAGGTCTTGATGGAGCCGAATATTTTTCAGAAATGACCTTGGCTTCCAGGTTGACCAAGCCCTGAGTGGGTACTTTTGATAGTCACTGGAATTCAAGGAGGTTGGCGTGATTTTGACCACATCACCCACGAGTGTATATTGGTCTGTAAAATAGATGTCTAGCCCTATATGCCTAAAGGTGTGGAAAAGGGTCCTTTACTTGTTACCCTGACTGCACTCCTAAGACATCTCGACTTTGCTACATTTTCCACAAAAGTTTTTGTTGTTTTGTTTTGTAGAAAGGGTCGATGTTTCACACTTGTTTACTGTTAAATCCACACCAACAAAACAAAAAACAAAAAAATTTATTTTGAATATTTCCTATCCTTTACAGGAAATTGCAGAACCAATCTAGCATTTTGTTTTTCTGTTGGGATTTTTCGAGATACATTTCTACTTCAGTAATTTGCCATCGCTTCCTGTACGGTCAGCTCTCGATACCACTTTAAAAACCAATGCAGACAAATGGTCCGCAGCTGGGATCGAACCCGGAACCCCGGCATTACGAAGCGTGTTCTCAACGCCTAAGCCATAGGTGTCTTAGTATACAGACATTTAATAGGTGTCAGTTTTCACAGTATGTGATTGTCCTACCATTTTGTTTATCCATACTCCCATGTGAAGACTGTTCAACAGAAGTTACGAGAAAGATGGTCATATCAATGCGAAGTATAAGTCTATGGGCAAGCACCAGTAAATAAATCAAAGTCAAAATGTTGAGAGAACTCATCTTTCCTGTAGAAACACATAGAAATATGAGTCATAGACTGTCTCGCAATCATTAAGGAAGACAAGAGGCTTATGAACTAAAGTGCTGTAGAAAGGTTCTTAGAATATCATCGACCAAGAAGAAAAGAAGTACTGTCATCCTGTAACATCTGAACATCAAGAAAAATTGGCTCGGAAAAGGAAATACCTAGGCCATATTCAATGCCACAATGGGTGGCAGGTAATAGTGTTGGGTGTATAGTTCCAAGTAAGAGGGCAGGGGTCGACCAGCACGAAAAAGGCCACAGGTCATACAATACATCTTGGACAAGAGAGTGCATAAAGCGAGAGAGCTGGCGAGGGACCGAGTTGTTTCTTAAGAGCGCACGGTAAAACTAACGTTAGTTTCTCCATGGACCGCCCATACACACATTAGCTTACTTCTGATTGGTAATTCCTGAGCCCCGTGCCTTTGAACAAGGTAACAGGGGTGTTCCCCATTTTCGTTGACATCGCGTGTTGCATATTTCAGCACGCCAGCGTTTTTAACACATGGATAAACTGGGTCTATGCCATAGGCATTCCCTTTCTCGGAATAAAAACATAAATGCAAGACATCACAGAAACCAAACACCATAGCGGGACACGCCCGTAACCTTCAGGAAAGTAGACCAGACCAACAACTTGTTAATGAAAAGTGACCTACTCTACTTGGGGAGACTAACGTGAAACTAACCGAGCAGACTGTGATAAGATCGACGTTCTGTACAGGACTACTACGTGATGATGCTGCGAAGTTAAAATTGACTGTAGGTATTTAAATATAATTTCACCTGTTTGATTTTATTTTGTTTAAATCCTCACACAGGTTGGGGATTCTTTTTTCTTGCGACGCCGACCTAAATCCTCAGGCTCAAAGACTCCTCCGCCACAGACACACAAGGCAAAAACGGTAAATATTGACAGTTTCTGGTTTTTGATATTCTATGGCTGAAATGGTTCTGGAGACTCTCTTTTTTTTCTTCGGCTATTAATACTGGGTCTCCCTGTGTGGGTTCCTTGACCCTATTATAGGGAAAACAAGAATGGACCCACTGCCTACCCAAAAACATGTCGTAAGAGTCGACTAATTGGGAGCTTCCTTCGAAGTCGGAGTGCATCTGCATGAGAGGCAAGGAACCAACAGTCTGCATACAAATTAGTCAGATCTGTCAAACAGATGCACACGCAACACTCAGGTTC